CTGCTTTCATTGTGTCCCATAGATTCCTGTATGTTGTATTAGCATAATCATTTATTTGTAAAAACTGTCTCATTTCTTCTTTAATTTCTTCTGTGACCCATTGTTTGTTCAGGAGAATGTTGTTCAAATTCCATGTGTTTGTGAATTTCCTACAGTTTCTTATGATATTGATCTCCAGCTTGATTGCACCATGATCTGATAATATACAGGGGATAATTTTGATTCCTTTGCATTTAATCAAACCTATTCTGTGAGCTAGTATGTGGTCTACCTTCGATAATGACCCATGTGCAGCTGAAAAGAATGTATATTCTGATTTTGTGGGGAGGAACACTCTATAGACATCTATTAAGTCCATATGTTCTTAAGCTTGGTTCAGTTCTTGTATTGCATCATTGATTTTTGTCTAGATAATCTCTGTATATTTATGATGGTGGGGTATTTAGGTCCCCCACTACAATTGTATTAGTGCTATTTGGTTTTTCATGCTACTTAATATTTGTTTTATATAGTTGGGGGCATTAATATTTGGTGCATACATATTTATGATTGTCATCTCTTCCTCTTGAATTGTTCCTTTTACAAGGATGTAGTGGCCTTCTTTGCCTCTCTTAATCAGTTTTGATTTGAAATTTAGTTTGTCTGCAAATAAAATAACTACCCCTGCTTCTTTCTGGGCTCCTGTCCTTTCACTTTCAGTCTATGGGCTTCTTTTTGCACTAGGTGTGTTTCATTTATACAGTATATCATTGGATTTTGCTTCTTAATCCATTCTGCCAGTCTGTTTGTCCTGATTGGTAAATTGAGGCCATTGACATTGTATAACTGATATGTACTGATTTATTATGGTACTTTTGTTGACTCTATTTAATTTTTTCCCCTCTCCTTTTAGTTTCTTGCCTTGCCTATTTGATTTGGTCTATTGGGCCTCATGAATTTTGGGGAACTTCATTGTCTTTTTCTAGGATATTGTTCAGAATTCCCTGTAGTATTTTCAGAATTTCCTTGTAGGTTTAGTATTCCTGGAAGTTTCTTAGGTGTTCTTTGTCATGGAGTATCTTATTTCCCATTTTTTTTTTTTTTTTTTTTTTTTTTTTTTTTTTTGGTACCAGGGATTGAACTCGGGTCCTTGTGCTTGCAAGGCAGGCCACCGAACTGCTGAGCTAAATCCCCAGCCCACCCAATCCATTTTTTAAAGGAAGTGTTGCAGGATACATCAGTCTAGTTTGGAGGTTATTTTCTTTTAGGACTTAAAACACCTTACTCGAGACTCGCCTTGACCTGTGGGTTTATGTTGAAATGTCTGCTCTGATTCTGATGGGCTTTCCTTTGCATGTGATTTGTTACTTTTCTTTTACCACTTGAAGTATTTTGTTCTTCTGTTGGATTTCTGGGATCTTGATTATTATATGTCTAGTTATAGATTTTTTTGATCATGGCTAGTTGGAGTCCTATATGCCTCACTCATCTGTATATCAAATTCTTCCCCTCTGTTTGGGAAGTTTTCTGTCATTAATTCTGTGATCATCTTTTTTAAGTCATTTGTATTTTCTCCTGCTACTTCATGGATTCCTATCAGTCTTATGTTTCTCTTCTTTGCATCATCAGGAGTTGTTGGATCGATTTCTCATGATCTTTTACTGATTTTAAGAGACCTCTCTTTTCATGGTCACTGACTACAATCATATCTTCTATATCTGAAATTCTATCTTCACATTCATTTAGCCTGCTGCAAAAACTTTCAAAAGAGTTTTGAGTCTGGATATCTGTTTAATCTGTTTCATGGTTTCCATTTCTTTCCTATGTTAGGTATTCATGGTTTCCATTTCTTTCTTATGCTGGGCCTTCATGGCTTCTATCATGATCCTGAGCTCATCTACTTTTTTTTTTTGTCAATTTCTGTTCTAGAGTCTCTCTAACCATGTCTTTCATTGTGCTCATCATCTCTGTAGTTATCTGGGAAATTATTTCTGTTTTAAATTTTCTAGAGCCTGATTGATCTGTTTTGTTACTTCCCATGCTATGAGTTCAGAGTGTCCTGGTGATTCATTGTCAGACTTTTCAGCCTCATTTGCCCTAGAGTTTGTCATTGGTTAACTGGAAGTCTGCCTTTGTGCCTTGCTTGTTTTCTCATTTTTATTTTTGTTGTTGGGTTATCCTTGGTTTAATTCCTGGGTTATTACTTAAATCTTCCTGATATAGTTATGCTTTAGCTTTTGAATCTCTAATGACTCATAGACATTCTCATTTTCATAATATCAAAAAAGACAACTCATGTAATCAACCAAAACCCTTTAGCACAATTGACACAATCAGTAACACAATAGGATCAAGCTCAACTTACAAATTAACCATTTGTGGTAGTCATTAATCTATCAGCTTTAAACCATGTGAATTAAATCAAAATCAAGGAGCAGCCCAAAATATTTTTACAGTGAATAAACTCTTCTATATAGCATCTTTACCCTTTAGGATGGGGGCTTAGACAGACTTAGGATGAAAGGAGTAAATAGTTAAAAGAATTGGAGAAAGTTTCCAGTAAAACCAGGGGACAAAGGATGGCCACACAAACTTTAGGAAACTGTTGAAGACTAGAGGGAAAGACAGAGTAGAAGAAGAATAAGGACAAGAATATAACAACTTAACAGCAATAGGGGCTCACTTTCCTTTGAAACTATTAACTCTTGAGTGAAGGAAAATGAGAGATGAATAGAAAATAAAGAAGAAAAATGATAAAAGAAGAAATCAGAGTTAGGGCAGGAACAGGAAGAGAAAGGGAAATGAAGAATAATACAGTGGAGTAAGAGACTGAGTTGGAAAAAGAAGACAGAAAAAATAAAGAATTTTCAGAGTGGAATGAGGAAAAGAAAGAAAGAAAAAAGAATTTGGAGGGCCTCTTTCACAGTAAATCTCTACTGTCATAATAGGTAATGTGTGCAGCCATGTGCAGAACTAAGTCCTTTAGTCTCAGCTAGCTGATGGCTGATCCCTGAGATTCAGGCTGAATTTGGGCTGCAAGGCTCAAATTGAGCTCCCTGACCTAATGCAGGGTTGAACTCTCCAAGGTTCTACTACAGGCTCCCTCTGCCCTTTCTCTGAAGAAATTCAAAGTTCTGATGGAAGATTGTACTCTCTCCAACTTACCAACTATGGAGATCTGATGTGCCTTTATGGCAGTTGTTCACTTCTGTTCTATCTTCTGCAGTTCATAAAAATGACCTTTATGACCACCTGTGCATCTGCAGAGTGGACCCGAGAACTGGCATAATCAGGAGACCTGAGAGTATGGCAGGAGGGATATTACAGAGGCACCCACAAGGCAAACCAGTCCAGCTTAAGGCAGGCCAGAGTGAGAACAGGATCTCTGTATGGCTACACCAGACCTCCACCTTCCGCCTTCCACCTTCCACTGGATGCAGGCCCCAAAAGCTTTTTAATCTGATATAATCCCATTTATTGATTTTTGCTATTGCTTCTTGTGCATTTGAGTTTCTTTTCAGAAAATCCTTTCCTACAGCGGTCTTCAACTGTTTTGTCTTATTTATCTATCAGTTTCATGTTTCTGTTTTAGTGCTTAGATCTTTGTTCCATTTTGGTTTTGATTTCGTACATGATGAGAGAAATGTGTCCAGTTTGAATCATTTCCAAAAACTACTGAATTTTCCCAGCACCTCTTCCTCTAATATGACTTTGACACCTTTATCAAAGTTCAAATAGCTGAATGTGTCTGAGGACGTTTGTGCAAACTTTATTCTGTTCCATTGATCTGTGTATCTATTTTTGTTGACGTAAATGTGTTTTATCATACAGCTTTTGTTTCTGGTATGGGGATCCAATTTCAGACCTTGCATTTGCCAGGAAGGTGTGCTGCTACTGAGCTAAATTCCTGGCCCATTATTGCTTTATTATTTAGCATTTAGTATTGTGAAGCCTCCTGCTTTGCTTTTTTTCTTCTGGATCTCTTCTAGTTCCATATGGATTTTAGCAATGTTTTCTCTAGTTCTGTAATATATGCTGCTGATATTTTTATTTGGACTGCACTGAATCTTCATAACAATGTTGGGAGTATGAACATTTTAACAATATTTTTTTTGGCTTATTCAAGAACAGAAGAAAAATTTCTGTTTTCTGACCTCCTCTTCAACCTCCCTTCTCAGAGAACTGCACTTTTCTTTGTAGAGATCCTTCACTTCCTTGGTGAGGTGAATTCCTGGGTATTTCATTTTTCTTGAAGCTACTGTGAAAATATTGTCTTCATAATTTCCTTCTGCTTGAGTTCATTATTGGTATACAAATGATAATGATTTTTGAATACTGATCTTATATCCTGCTATGTTGCTGAAATTTGTTATTAATTCTGAGATTTTGTGAATTTCCTTAGATTTTTACATAGTATATTATGTAATCTGCAAATAATGGTAATTTGAGTTCTTCCTTTCTTATATGTATCCCTTTTATGCTTTCTCTTTGGTGTTGTTTTACATTCTGGCTAATGTTTCAAATACTGTATAAAATAAAAGCAGTGAGAATCAGCATCCTTGTATTGTTCCTGATTTTTGGGAGAATGCTTTTTTTTTCTTCTTTTTCTTATTTAATGTTATGTTGGCTACTGGTTTGTCATAAATAGCTTTTGTCAAATTCAGTTACTGTCTTTCTATATCTGGCGATATTTTAATGAGGTTGTCACTAAACCAAAGTGATCTTTAAGCAATATGTTAGACCAACCAAATTCTCTTTTCAAATTTTCAGGATATTGCTTGTGCATTTGTCTTAACTTGTTCACTCTGTCAGTATCTATCACAGCTAGCAATGAATGAACACTTATAATCTCACAATAGAGCAAAATGGCAGTTCTTCTTATCTTCACTTTTTTTTTAACTTTGCTGCTTAATCCTACCTCTTGGAATCATGCCTGGCATGCATACTATACAGTTTATAATTAATAAATATTACTTGCTTTGATAATTATATTTAGCAGATGAAGAAAAGCAAAAGCTCACCTCTCATTGATAATTTCTCATTTCCTTCGAGACTGCTGCTTAGATTTTGTTATCCATCAAATGAAAGCAAGGTGAAGATGGATCAGTCACAAAAGAGCCTAGAAAAGAGCCGTGTTAATAATGATCAATTTATCTCTGTGTCATTGCTCGTGTTCTTCTTTTCCTTTTTAAATTAATTATTATTATTGATATAATTTAGATATTCATGATGATCACATTCATCTAAGGAATTTGTACCTGTATGTGTTATATCTTGATTCTTTTTTTTTTATTTCCTCACCCCCCCTTAAACTTTTTTCTCCTCCTTATGTACTGAAGCTTTGTTTCCATTTTTTATTCTTTTATTTCTTTTACTTTTCCCTCCTTCCTTTCCCCATCCCCTTTCCCGCCCCAGTTCCCTTTTTATTGAATATTTTCTTCCTATTTCACAGTATCTATTACACACTTTGGTCCTTATTTACTCTTTTGGTTTCTCACATCAAAGAAACCATGTAATATCTAAATATATGTCTTTAACTTATTTCACTTAAAAGTATGATCTCAAGGTGCATCTAGTTACTAGAAATGTCTCAATTTTATCTTTCATTATAGAGAATAGTACTCCATTTTATAAAAACTCCACATAATTTTTATCAATTCATCAGGTGATGGGCATTTGGGCTGTTACAAAGATTGAGCTGTGATTCTATTTCCCATTTCTTTGTTCCTGTCGATTTCATAGATCTTCCAAACACTCAGAAATGATTTTGACTGAAGCTTTCATCCATTCCAAGAATCATAATGATAAATATTCATAATTAAGCCAAGCTAAAGCAAATACATTGCCTTTTCCTAAAAAAATGCATTGTATATTTTGCAACTAATATTATTTTTTGTTTTGTTCTCAATAAAATCAACTATTTGAAATGGAAACCTATGCGGGATTTGAGGTATAGTCATCTATCCACAACTATAATCAATACAAGAGCAGTTTGATCCATTATGCCTTATCTCCTCATGTTCTTTGTGGTCTGGTTTCCCAAACTCAAATCCTAGCAACTACAGGTATGTTCTCTGTCCATAGAATTTTGCCTTTTGAAGAATATTATATAAATATTGTTTAAAACAAATCTTCATTTGCTTTAGATGAATACTTAGAGGAGAGCCACTAGGTCATATGATTAACATTCATTGAACTTTATGCAAAATGGACACATGCTATGCCAATGTGGTTGTACCATTTGCAGTTTTAGCAAGAGTCTTCCACATTCTCTCTTTGCAGTGCTAGGTGAGTCAAATAGATGCACGTATGTGTGAGGAGCGTGTTAGAATTCCATGAGGTGTCTGGTCGAATGTCTTCTGGTTTCAACTCGCTCTTGACTCATAATGTTGAGCAACTTTTCACTTGCTCACATCCCATACATATATTGCTCTAGGAAAGTGTCTATTGAAGGTTTTTTGTTCTACTCCATCTCTAGGGTTTTGCTCATTTTCTAGTTAGATATTTTGTTGCTGTTATTCAGTTCTCTGTACATTCTGGATGTAAGTCCTTTGTAAACTATTATTTGTAGATATTTTTCCCAGTCTGTACCATATCTTCTATAAGTGTTGTTTACATAGCAAGTTCTAAATTTTGATGTGGTCTAATTCTTATTTTTTGCTTATTTTTATTATGTTTACATATTTGCTATTCAGCATATACATTAACCAAATCTGTTATGAAAATTTGATTTTTTAGGTGTTGGATTCTCCCTTTAAGGATTGTAGTTGTTACATTTACTTCTGTTTGGTCATCTAAACATCAAAGACCATTCTGCAACTAAGAAGTCTACTAACATTTGGAAGAATATCCCCAAATGTATTCAATGGTAGAGAATAATTACAAGGTATTTAAAAACATATAAAGAAGAATACAGCTAATAGCTTTTATAATATATAATTTAACAACATAGAATTCACACATCAAATTTAACCTCAAAAACACAGCTCTTCTTGCTTCAATATGCTGCCAAAACAGATATATAAGAACCAGACAATAAGAAAATAATCTTGTAGATATTTTTGATAGACATATATGTATATTAGGTCTTTGGTAATGAGGAGGAAAAAAGGAAGATTTAGGTTATGTGAAATTCTTCTAAATTGAATATTAAAGCAGTCAACATGTAGCCCAGAAATTGTCCTACTTTAACTTATCATGTAAAATCCATTTGCAGTGAATTCTAATTAATGCTTAACTTTTCACACCATAGTGTGAGTGCTAAAAATGCAATTGACTATTTTAACTTCTAAAATTGTTATTACATTCTCTTTTTGTGTAGATTGAGTTTAAATTATTAATAACAGGACTGATTTTCACATTTTTAGAGACAAATGTGCTCTCATTTTCATAATGAAATCAGTATTTTCATTGTTTTTGAGTTTATTTCATAATATTTTGAACACTGGTGATTCTATATTCCATTTTACTAGGTGTTTTCTCTTTCCCAAGTGGGCTAGCAAATTCAGTCAAAGGATATGTTGAATCTCATCATCATCCAGTGCATGAAGAGTCGTTAATGTCCAGGAAGACTTTACTTTCTCTCTATCTTTACAATTGTGTTGCCTTCTTGGGTAATATTTCCTATACTGATAACTTAATCATATGTGATTCCATGAGACTTGATGCCTCAAGAAAAAAATACTGGCTTGGTTTATATGTCTTTGACTCTAGGAGAGCATTGAAGGCAGTGTCCATTGCCCACTTGAATGACAGCAAGGAGAAATTTGGGAAGAGGAGGATTAGCAGGCCAAAGGCTGCAATCTGTTGCTTCCCAGTGGTAAGTAAAAAGAGGAGAAACAACCCTAAGATCAGAAGACAGAAAAATGTCCTCCATACAGTACTGATGTCAAGCACAAGAAGTTCAGTCAATAGAGCTACACTCTGCACTCAACTGAAAATCTTCACCATTTCCAGGAGCTCCCACCACATGACATTTAGCATCTGTTGAAAATTAATTTTAACTGGATATTTCAGAAGAACATATTGCTGAGAAATGTGACAAAATTACTTTTTAGATTCTTTGTCATTCTAAGTTTAGCTAAGTTGAACACATTTATACATGCACAAACATGGAATTATATGCTCTCTATTTTTCTATTTAAATATTAATCCTAAATTCTCCTATATTCATTATAAAAATCACACATGTTAATAGCTAAATACATAAAGCATATGATTGGGCAGATCTTGGAACACACACATGTGTAAAAACACAAACACACTGGAAAATATTAGATCATTTGCTTGATTTATAGAAACTCTCAGAGACACACCCATTTGTAAAGAAAATGAAAAATGAAATAAAAGTAGATGTTGATTATTTCAGCTCAGTTATGAAGCACACATTTAAAGCTGTTTTACACCATGGAATCAGACTTCCATAGAATCAAAGTAGTGTGACTAATAAGTTATCAGTGGGAGCCATGAAAAAATGACCTGTAGCAATAAAAATTATAAGGAAGCCTCTAATCCCACCTTCAGCAACCTTCTAAGTAAATGTCATGTTTGACAAAGTAGTTCACGTTGAGAAACACCATCTGTGAAGAATATTAGAGATGATGAGGGGATGCCATGCTTGATAAAGCTGGTAATGCCGGTGCCCATCAGAAGAGCCGGCTAATATTTCAAAATCTCAGGGAAAAAGGAGTCAAGAGAAGAAAATGATGAGTTTGAACAAACCACCTGAGACCAATCCTAATGAACACAATTTTTCTGTATAATTATATATTATTTTATTATATTTAATATTTTTTTCTCTGGTCCTAGCTAACATATTGGCTTGCTCTTTGACATTTGTTACTTATTGTTGTCTTGCACAAATTAATATGCATCCCTCTTTGTGTTTAAAAATAATAATCTAAGAAGCTTTACTGTGAAAGTGTGTATTTGCTTCACTCTAAAACCGGAAGTCAATAACTTCTCAGACCTTTTCAAAACAAAATAAAACCCGTCATAAAGCAAAAGGCTGAAACGTTTCAGTAGAGAGTGGAACTGAGTGTGTGTGTCATCTGACAGTTGTTTAATTTCATTTTTTAAAAGACATTGGAAATGTACTTTAAGTCTGACTTAAAACTCTCTCATGATAAAATTTGTTGTCATATCTTATGGAGAAAAATAAAATTCATTTTTGCAGCATTTTGGCTGACAGTTTAAACTTTGGATATTTATATAGGAATTAGTAAACATTAAAAGCCGAATAAAACTAGTCTATACACTTTGCTCAATACATTACCAGTCAATTGTGGTGTTCTTGAATCAGGTGGACATTATCAATCTGCAAAAATGCAGCTCTGTCAGCTGTCCTGGTGCCACTGGATAATGCAGGATGCCAACAGGGGGCACAGTCTGTTGCTGATCACTGCTGCCATCAGCTAGTAGTAAGGGATGCTGCCTTGTGTCATCACAGCTTGTGTGAGATGCTGGAGGTCCATCTACTCTTCCAGCTGCTTCTTTCTGACACTGACCATTGTTGGCTGCTGGTCTCTGGAGCTCTTCAGGGATAACAACCTCTAGTATCTACTGCTTTTTCTTTGAGAGGATGCCTCTGTCCATACTACTCAGGATAAAACTCTCAAGTAGTTTTACAGGCTCTTCTAAGAAATGAATGATGAGCGGATTTGCAGAACCAGCAGGGGAAGTCTTTGTCCTTATTTTATTTAAATGTTATTAGTTTACTGTTTATTTTAATGTTGCTTGTGTGGAAACACAGGGTATCAGCATACCAGAGGGCTCCCTCCTAGGCTAACACCAGAGATGTGAAAGAGTGCTCCTTACAAAGTGGCTGCAGGCCTTGGGTTGATCCAATTAAAAGTCTATAATTGTTCAAATTCAGGCCTACTGACTGACTCAAGAGAAGGCTGGTGATTGGTCCAAGTTGGCGGGCAGTGCATGTAGGGTAGTCACAGAAATCATGGTGGTGATTCAGTGAGAGAGAAGGGAGACATGAGCTGTTTGACTTGTTGCAGAACTCCAAGAAACAGGAGAGACTAAACAGGAATCAAGAAGATTTTTTTCTTAAGTGTATACACCAGCCCAGGAGACTCTCAGTCGAAAATGGCTGAGTGTTGAGCAAAAAGTTTCAGCTTTTATACATTTTGTTGAAAGAGGTGGTTTTTCTAGCAATGTAGCAAGTGACTTTACCAAAACAGGACAAGGGAAGAACGTTTTATAACTTGGCCCTGAAAGAAAACAATAACTCATGAATCACATGAGAACAGAGCATCATAAACTTTGTTACAGGACATAATTAGTACAAGAAATTATAGATACAAAGAAGAAGGTAAAGGTAAAAATGGGGGTGGTGTGACGCCGAAAGCTAGGAAGGACTAGTTTATTGAAGTCCTGTTTCATCACCCCCATTGATGCTCTTTATAGCAAGTTTTACTACAGAGCACACCATCATCATCATCATCGTCATCATCTTCATCATCCTTTTCAGTTTTTGTCAGAAGGCGGTGTTCAGTACAACCTCCTAATCAGAAGCTGGTGGTGGTGGGCCTGTTTATCAGAATCTCTATGGCTGACTGAATGCTTTTGACGAGTAGGAGTGAGAGGCAAGGGAGAATTACAACAAAGAGGATAAGAGACTCATATTGTCTTTGTGACTCTGTGTTGATCTTTAAGCTTCATAGTGCTTGGACTGGTCAGCTTCTAGAGTGAACAGGGCAAGGCTAGGACTAATCTTCTTGCAAGATCAGCTGGTTTTGTTGTTCTGGATCTTGTTGATTGGTCTACTTGTCTCGAGCAGTTGGCTTTTAGCCTCCATGGACATGTAATATTGAAAAGACATATCTTGTCCATTGGGCTCCTTCTAGCAGCATGTGGGTCTCTGAAGGGGCAATCTGTGAGATCTCCCCGGCACAATAATACTACATCTATGTTTTTACATCATTTTAAAGGTAGTTCCCAGCTCAACTGGGAGCAAAGAATCAGGATTAAGGGTGTTTATAGTCTCTTAAATTATGTAGGAATTTTTATACAGAAGCCCTTAATATCAAGTCATTCTTTGGTTTTATAGCCAAGGGAGTCTTTTCTGGTTTATCAAGGTTGTGACTGAGTGTGGCACTTGGATAGTTAGTTGCTCTCCCAGAGTCAGCTTGTCAGCTTCCTGCATCAGCAGGGCAGTGACAACCAGGGATTTAAAGCATAGAGGCCACTCCAGGGCCACAGAGTGTACTTGTTTTGACAAGCAAGCCATTAGGTGGTGCCAGGATCCTCTGACCTCATCAGGATCTCCCTGGCCATTCCCTGCCATCCTTGGATGTATAGGAAGAAAGGCTTGGTTAAACCTCGGAGTCCCAGGGCTGGAGATTAGGTTAAAACTTCTTCGATTTATTTGAATAGCCTGTCCTGTGTAGCTTCCCAAAGGAGGGGCTCCTTTCCCCTGCTCTGCTAAAATTATTCAGCCATGAGCAAGAAGTTAGGGATCCAGTTGTCACACCAAGTACATTTTTTACCTGGTGTCTGGTAGTTAGGGTTGAAGATAGGTCATAGACAGCTTGGTTTTGTTGAATGCCAGGTTGATGTTTCTCTTTCGTTACTATAAAACCAATATACTTTATTTGTTGGAAGATTTGAGCTTTCTTTTGAGATATCCTATGTTTTGCTTTTTACAGCAGGTGAGGAAGATCTCTGGTCCCTTGGAGACAGTCCTCAAGAGAGACAGCTGCAAAAAAGGAGATCATCCATCTATTGTAATGAAACACAGCCACTTTCTGGCATGAGAAAGGATTTTAGATCAGTGGCCAGTGTTTTCTTGAAAAATGGGGGGGGCGCGTGTTAAACTCCCGAGGGAGCCTAGTGTAAGTGAGCTGTTTTTGTTTGGTTTTGTTTTATTTGTAACTAAATCCTGCCATTGAAATGTAAAAGTGGGTTGACTTCTTGGTGCCAAGTGGAGACAGAGAAAGATTCCTTTCAAGTCCAGGCAAGTGAACCAGGCAGTACTTGCTGGGATGAGTCTAATTAGTGTATATGGGTTTGGCATTGTTTGGTGTATGGTTTTAGAAGCCTGATTTATAGCATACAAGACTTGCATTATCCTATATTTATTAGTCAGTGGTCTACATACCACCCCAAGTCATTCTAAGAATATTGGCATTTGACCTGGATTTTACTTTCTGTAAACCTCTTTAAGTATTCCTGCATGCCTTGTATAGCTTCCTAGGGGAGGAAGTATTGGCGAACTCATATAGGAGTGGCCCCCAGTCCTAGTTCCATTATCACCACAGCTTGATTTACAGCTAGTCCAGTTAAGTTGCTTAGGAACTGTCTGTATCAATTATATAGTTCATTCTATGCTGGACAGGGTGGCTTATCCAAGTACAGTCTCCATTTCTCAGACTGTGGAACAGTGAAGGTTAACATTACAGTCTCTGTGTGGGTCAAATTTAAAGTCATTTTTCCTTGTGTTCTAAAGACAATTTGGGCTTGCAACTTATGAAGCAAATAACTTCCCATCAAGGGAACTGAGAAATTTGGAAGCTATTGGAATTTATGTAGGATCTCTCTTCTCTCTACAACACAGCTCTTGGGACAGAAAAATGGCCTCTTCTCTGGAACTCCAGGGGCCCCCCAAAATGTCACATGGATTTTATACAGTGGTCCAATGGTCCTTTTCACCACAGAATGTTCAGCTCCACTATCTACAGTAAAGTCCATCACTTGGCCCCCATTGGTCATCATGACCATGGGCTCCTGGGAGCTCAGAGATGGAGCCCAGTCTGGCCAAGTCCTCTTAACTTTCAGCTCTTGTAAACCCAAAGAGATCAGCCCCTCGCTTCCCATGATAATGGCCTATTGTGGAGGGGTCCACTGTCTTATATTCTCCTTCATCTTTTCTTTCTGGATATTTACCCTTCTAAAGCCCAAACTTTTTACATCACACCCATTGATTTTAAGCTAATTTTTGGCAGTTGCCAAGAATTTTTTTGTCCAGCTTGATCTTTGCCTCTTTTTTTTTTCAATGCCCTTATCCCTTTACATCTTCTGTCCTTGCCCCTGAGAGAGTTGTTGCCAGGAGTTTTGTGGTTTCCTTAAGCTTCCGGTCACCCTCCTGTTTTGTCTCTTGATCATGATTAACATACATGCTAGTGGCCACTTCTACTAGCTGATTAGCATTTATGCCAGTGAAACCCTCTAGCTTTTATAATCTCTGCATGATATCACCTTGTACCTGTCCCACAAAAGCCACATTTACTTTGCACTAATTTATTCTTGGTGCCAAGTGGAGACAGAGAAAGATTCCTTTCAAGTCCAGGCAAGTGAACCAGGCAGTACTTGCTGGGATGAGTCTAATTAGTGTATATGGGTTTGGCATTGTTTGGTGTATGGTTTTAGAAGCCTGATTTATAGCATACAAGACTTGCATTATCCTATATTTATTAGTCAGTGGTCTACATACCACCCCAAGTCATTCTAAGAATATTGGCATTTGACCTGGATTTTACTTTCTGTAAACCTCTTTAAGTATTCCTGCATGCCTTGTATAGCTTCCTAGGGGAGGAAGTATTGGCGAACTCATATAGGAGTGGCCCCCAGTCCTAGTTCCATTATCACCACAGCTTGATTTACAGCTAGTCCAGTTAAGTTGCTTAGGAACTGTCTGTATCAATTATATAGTTCATTCTATGCTGGACAGGGTGGCTTATCCAAGTACAGTCTCCATTTCTCAGACTGTGGAACAGTGAAGGTTAACATTACAGTCTCTGTGTGGGTCAAATTTAAAGTCATTTTTCCTTGTGTTCTAAAGACAATTTGGGCTTGCAACTTATGAAGCAAATAACTTCCCATCAAGGGAACTGAGAAATTTGGAAGCTATTGGAATTTATGTAGGATCTCTCTTCTCTCTACAACACAGCTCTTGGGACAGAAAAATGGCCTCTTCTCTGGAACTCCAGGGGCCCCCCAAAATGTCACATGGATTTTATACAGTGGTCCAATGGTCCTTTTCACCACAGAATGTTCAGCTCCACTATCTACAGTAAAGTCCATCACTTGGCCCCCATTGGTCATCATGACCATGGGCTCCTGGGAGCTCAGAGATGGAGCCCAGTCTGGCCAAGTCCTCTTAACTTTCAGCTCTTGTAAACCCAAAGAGATCAGCCCCTCGCTTCCCATGATAATGGCCTATTGTGGAGGGGTCCACTGTCTTATATTCTCCTTCATCTTTTCTTTCTGGATATTTACCCTTCTAAAGCCCAAACTTTTTACATCACACCCATTGATTTTAAGCTAATTTTTGGCAGTTGCCAAGAATTTTTTTGTCCAGCTTGATCTTTGCCTCTTTTTTTTTTCAATGCCCTTATCCCTTTACATCTTCTGTCCTTGCCCCTGAGAGAGTTGTTGCCAGGAGTTTTGTGGTTTCCTTAAGCTTCCGGTCACCCTCCTGTTTTGTCTCTTGATCATGATTAACATACATGCTAGTGGCCACTTCTACTAGCTGATTAGCATTTATGCCAGTGAAACCCTCTAGCTTTTATAATCTCTGCATGATATCACCTTGTACCTGTCCCACAAAAGCCACATTTACTTTGCACTAATTTTCAGTTGTCTCCAAGTTGAAGGCAGTGGGTTCCCTTATTGTTCTCCACCCCCAGTTATCACCCTAGGGTTATCACCCTATGTATATATCTAATTTTTCCCCTGGCTGGACATCCTAGATCAAAGACGGGCCAATTTATTTTATATTTTTAAAACCTCTGCAGGGAGGTTAGCTTTACTCCATAGCCTCTTGTATACTTTTTTAAAAATTTCTTTAATACATATCCCCATGGGTTGGGTTTTTTTTGTTTGTTTGTTTGTTTGTTGGGTTGTTTTTGTTTTGTTTTGTTTTTTTTTTGTTCTGGGGATCAAACTTGGGTCCTTGCGCTTGTGAGGCAGGCCACCGAACCGCTAAGCTAAATCCCTCGCTCCATGGGTTGGGTTTTGATGTTTTTTTTTTTTTTCCTCACAGCTACTCTATTGTGACAAAAATTATGTTTTCAAGAACTTTGTTTTAGAAATAACTTAAGCACTATCAAATTAATAAGCACTCATACCTATTTTTGAGTTTTTTGAGCAACAAGAAACTTTTGGATGGAATAGCTTTGGCTTTCCCCAAACCAACAAGCAAATACACATATTTTCTTTGATAAATTACTTCCATAGGGTTTTCTTTAACATTCATA